TTCAGGGGTGAAAGAACCCCTGAAGACACCTTTGAACTCTTCCAATTCAAAGGCTGGAATAGTTCATAATACAATTTCGGGAGTGAATGAGTTAATGATTGCATGCTTTGTCTGTATTTTCCAGAGTACAGAACTCAGATTACCTATCAGCATTCCATGGAATATTTAAGTACCTAGAAGATAACACTATCTTCAAGGACAAAGCAGGTAAAAATGACAATATTTACCAACTCCTTTGATGACTTGTAGAATCTGTTTCATTGTAATTACATACAGGATTTTTTTTTCAATTTCATGCATTTCTACATTTTCACTTATTTTTTCTCTACATTTTCAGTTATTATTGACCTAAATAGAGATAATCCCGTATATTTTCAATACGAAAGTGCCTGTGTCGTCAGTGCAAACAAGATTACTGGAACAGCCTAACGTCACCAAAATGTTTGCTTCTTATGGTTGTCTCATGTTATTTGAGGCGGGGAAAAGAAGCCTCAAAATGACGCTGATCAAATTGTGTTCATAGTTCTTTGTTTTCCTTCAGGAATGTGGCAGTGAATTAAAGTTGTATGAGAAAATATGAATTACACACCCTTTCCTTTAGGTGTGTGATTGTATAATAAAGTTGTGCCCCCGATACTTGGTATAATTACGATACACGTTTTCCTTTAGGTATGTGGCAGTGTATTGTGGCCGTATCAGACAAGGTGTTTGACAAACTACTGGACACCCTGGAAGAACGGGTATGTTAATATTTTTTTTAACTAATGTATGGTAATACTATATACCTGTTATATGCCGAAATTTTCGCCTTTCAGCGATAAAATCAATTTTCTCCCAATATTCAATTCGCCCTTCACATTTAATTACTGTGCATATTATGTTGTGTATACAAACGTTCGCTGTAATTTTAAATTTGCACTCATTATGTAGGTTGATAAAGGCAAAAATTAAACTGCAGCGAAAATGTCCTGGTATACAGTATACAGCGGTCTGGCTGTGCTGTGGTATTGAAATAAACTTATCTTTGAATTTATATTTTGTTGTTTGTTATGAACATGTAAAAGAAATCCGATGTAAAAAGGCTATAAGTGACTTAAAAACCTTTCAGTTTCAACATTTGTCGTTGAGGTCATTTCATTTTATCATCAAAAAGTATAATAAAAAAGAAAGTGACCTATACAATCACTTTCTTTGTTTAAAAAAAAAGAGTGTTTTTTTAGCAATAAATTGACATTATGTCAGCAGATGGACGATGGTATTCCTTTTTAAAATTTGAAATTGATTTTTTTTAGGTCATGTCACCTATTACCGTTTGATACTATGACGTCAATTTTATATCATTTATAGTTTTCCTTAAAATTCATCCAACCAGAATTTTCCTAGAATAGCTTTTTTGGACAGTTTTTGAGGCTGCCTATTCTAACTTCGATTCCAAACATTATGCAGCATCTATATCTGTTGATCTATATATCTATCCTCCTCAGCCCAAGACAGTAGCCAGAGGGGAGGAGCTCGAACATCACGCCCAGTTCCTCATGGTCAAATTTAACCACATCCATCGTCGGATCAGGAGGGTAGCCGACAAGTACCTGGCTGGCCTCATCGATAGGTAGGTACCATAATTATCAATACCAGAAAAATGTAGGGAAAGGGCTTCATATCAGTTGTTCAACTTATGCCCAGTCCCATTGCTAATTAAAATTGGCAATAAAATATGTTAAATAATAGGTGCTGCATGGTTCTCAGTGATCCTTAAACAAGTCAGAACATGAGTCAAAGTGTGTATTCGGTCTATCTGAAACACCCTTTTGTGGAACTGATGTCCCTGACTGGCTGCGTTGTCATTTTGTTAATGGATTTATCTGTTGTTTTTTTTACGAGTTTTTCGTTGGTAATTATGTATCTTGAAGGTGTTTGGTATCACTTGTCTTCATACTAAAGATCGTCGAGAACCCAGTAGTACAATATCTGGTAATATGATGCTTGCTTGTCTGTTTTTAGGTTTCCTCACCTGTTCTGGAGCGGTACTATGCTGAAAAGTATGTTGGATGTATTACAGCTCCTGTCAAAGGCACTGGAGATGGTACGTTTTTTGGAAATGAATATGTGCTCGGTTTAGTAATTCAGCCGTGAAACATCAGTGAAATATATAAATTTACACAAAGAATCTCAAGAGACTTTGATAAACTAGCATTGTAAATAAACTATAGATCAGGGTTAACTCATTCACCCCTAAATACAGTTTTGAACTCTTCCAATTCACAGGTTGGAATAGTTCATCATAAAATTTCAGGGTTGAAAGAGTTAACATTTTACTGAATAGGACAATTGTTGGTAGACATATGTGGAGACAAGTGAACATTCTGAATTATACAAACTTTAGTGTTTGAGTGAGTTTCTTAACATATTAAATAGTGTGCTTCAATGAAACGATGTCACCTTGATATTTTTACAGGACCCTAACCAGGATGCCCCAGAATTCCAGGTGCCCAACTCGCCCTTCCACCTGAGAGTCCCAGACAACCTGACAGACAGGGAGGTGAGCTAACTCTTGTCTTAAAATGTTTTTCTTCAGGCTGGTAAATATAATGTTATTTATAGATTCATATAACACAACCAGTGAAAGGTTTATGTGTTTATGTACAAGATGATCATATTCATGAAACCATTCCCATGCTCAAACTCAGTTTCTGTGCTCAGACCAAATTTCCTTTTACTGTAATAAATTAATAATTAAAATCACATTCGTCAGTGATATTGGAAACATTCGGAGAGTATTAAAGACCGACACTATTTTCAATATATTAACACTTGACATTTTGACTGTAATTCCTGTAATTTAAGCAAGTTATAAGAAAGTTGGTTTTAGCACAAAACCAATGCTTGAGCATGAAAATGGTTTTATGATACAGGCCCTGATCTACACGTCAAATTGGCTACACGATAAACGTATATTAGCACATATAGGACTACCAGCGAAATGTTTATATGTGTTACATTTTGGTAACTGGCAGTGTGTCCTCGGTCACCTTCATCAGCAAATAAATCTTACCTAGATGGTTGATATCATTTTCAGGAAGCACCTTGCAATTTCCCCTTTTTATTGAAACTTCATTGAACATTTTATACATGACTAATCCAACATCTTCTCTCCTAAAATAGCCGATTCAATTCAAAAAGAGAAAATGTTTTTCTACTTGTAAATTTACGATATACATAATATGACCTAGTTCATTGATGTTGATCTGTCAACACCAGCAAAGCTTAATGACTGTTACTAATATCTAAAGTAATCGGAAAAGTCAGTTTCACGCATTCTCAGCAATACCAGATGATTCTACAGAGTCTCTAACATTGTATGAGTGTGCCGTTAGTTACGAGGGCTGTATCATTATTTTCACACTTACAGACACTGGTCAAGGATTTCGCCCTGCGCTGTCAGTCCATCCTGCAGGAGTCGATGAAATGGGCACCCAACACGACACGCTCACACATGATTGAGTATCTACTGAGGATGGAGAACACGTCCCAGGGTTTACTAACACATAGCGGACTGGCACTAGCGACGGAGAGTGTCCTCAACTACGCGGGCTACAACAAGTCTGCTGCTCCCTTGGGGGTAAATATCAGACAAGTTCTTGATGTACTTACTGTTTCCAGCTTTGGATGAAATATTTAATCAAATGAAAGATAAAGAACGGAGCATGGTCTTCAGTGGCATTTTTTTTAAGATCAGACTTTGAAATCACAAGCCAATCAAATTACTAATCAATTTGTTATATGTAGATATATTCCGTCTTTGCGTATTGCAGAGTTATCTTCTCT